TCATGCCAGTAGCATGTGTGCTTTATTCCCAGCAGTCTTATGGCTTCCTCGAAGTTTGAGGCATGCAGTTAGCTTACCTGGGTCCTATAACCAGAATTTTCTTCTATAATATAATTTAATAGTCTCATTGACATATGGAGATAGATTAAAAATGTGAAGGGCTGTAATTTGGCTCAAATCATTTGTAACTGTTTCTAGAAAACCAATTTAGAATATTATATGACTAAAGTGTGCTGAATAATATTAGTAAATGAAATAATTATCACTATTATGGAATAATATTGCATACATTGTCTTCATTCTTTATAGATCTGTTATAACTATGTGATAAATTGCAGTCACATAAGTGATACATGATAAAGATTGTGTTTAAACTCATGCAGCTGACTTTAGTCCATATGCAAGAGGACTTCAAAAAGTTCATGGAAAATAGAATTAAATGATAAATAATGGCATTTTCTATGCATTTTGAAGCTGCTCATATTTTTCTTATTCATTAAACTACATTGCCTCTCAAATATCAGAAAGCACAATAGATTACAGAATATTATTTAAGATGAAGGAGTACAGTACATATAGAAGAGAAAGATTACATTGACATTTTTGAAGAGATATGTTGCATGAAATAATTACTGTCTTATGGGCAGTGCAATTGTTTCTGATTGCTTATATAGTCCTTATAATTTTGATAGAGATACATAATGTGTGGAGTAAAAAAGGTATGAGCCAAAGTGTTTGCTGCTGTGTTATTGATGCAGTTTTAAGAACATTTTCGGGTTATCCCTGTGAGGAATGGAAGGGCAACACTACCAGGTCATGTTCTTCCAAGGTTGGCATTGTTCTTGTCAGTCTTGCAAACTTCATGAGCATCAGAAGCAATTTGTGAGGCCTGTTGAAAACACATTTGTGTTGGGGGATGGGTCTCAGCATGGAATTCCTGATTCTGTAGATCTGACTCAGAATTTGCATCTCTATTGCCAACCAGTTCTCAAGTGCTATTAAGGTGGCTGATCCTGGGACTACACTTAGAGACCCAATAGTCGCTTCTCTTTTCATTGCCTGTGTATTCCTTGCAAACATCCTTGCCTCATAACCAAGTTCCAGTGCCAATTTGATTCACTAGCAACAATGACGCAGCATTTGGTCATCCCAGCATTATCAGAAGTCAGGCATAGAGAAGAGTGGGCAATGTTATGGTAACAAAAATGAGACCTCTGGAAATGGTATAGTTAAATATATTGGTTGTGGTGATCATTATGCTAGATTGTACAGTGACAAAATTTTGTGTAAAGCTGTACACACACAGAAAAACAAATCAGTGCATGTAAAAATGTTAGCATTTATGTACGCACTTTGAATTTTGTCAATGTCAATTTCTTAGTTTTAATAGTTTATTCAGGTGTGTGAGATGTTGGAATTTGAGTGAGGAATCAAGAGAATGAAATGTACCATCACTTTGTATATTTCTTAACATCTCCTTGTCTCTAACTATTTTCAAATAGACATATATTGGGTTTTTTTATAGCTCTGAGTAAAATAATGAGTGACTGAGTTTCATTCTATTATTTTTGAGAAAAGCCATTATTCTATCAGCTCTGGGCTCCAAAACACATGAAATGATCAAAAATATAAAATAGCATAAAATCACAACTCTAGTGAACATATGGCCATAATATATAATTTAATAAATTGAATTGTATTGTTTCCAATACACCAGTGTAATGTAACTGATTCATTTCTACTTCCATTTCTCACAACAAGACTAAATACCTGCAAAGGGGAGAAAAATGGAAGTCGGTGAGAAAGAAGGTGAAAGAAAATAAACAAGGAAAGTAAGAGGTAATACACACAGTGGAATTTAAAGAATGGAAAATATTTTGGGATTTAGGTCAATATTTCCCCTTTTCTCTCAGAAGCCTATATATGAGGGGTAACACCCACCACCACCCAAACCGGGAAAGAGCTCTGCTGGGCAGAGCTTTCATAGTATGCAGCCACTCGCCAGCTCTGAGTTAGTGCACCCAGCGGCGTCGCCTAGGAAGGTTCTCTCTGGTCACAGTGACATGTTTCATAAAAGCAGTTTCACTGGAACCTTGTTTTTTTGTGATGGCCAATCTAAGAGACCCATGTACAGCTGTGAAATTGTGTTTCCTGCTCAGGAAAAATGCCACAGAAACGGTTGTGATGTTATACGAGTGATTTTTTTATTTCAAAAACAATGAAATGTTGATTGATAGCAAAACACCTTCTGGACATCCATCAACTTTGAAAAAGGATGAAAATGTGAAACAAATGTGTGCACTTGTGCTTGAAGACCAACGGCGGACCAGTGAATTGTTGGGGGAAGTTATGTGGACTATTTTGGAGCAAATATTAATGGAAGACTTGGGAATGAAAAGAGTTGCTACAAAGTTCGTTCCTGGGGTTCTGACTGACCAGGAAACTGAGTGTCAAGTGGTAACACGCCATGCTTTGAAAGAACATCTCCAAAACAGCGCAGACTTTTTCCCAAGATTATATCTGGTGGTCAGACATGGTGCTCTTCTTATGACCCTGAAAGCAGACCTCAGTCAAGCCAGTGGAAATGCCTTCATCCTCTTGCTCAAAAAAAAAGCTCGTCAAATGAAATGAAAGATCAAGACAATGCTCATTTGTTTATTTGGTGTGAGGGGGGTAGTGCATTTGGAGTTCCTTCCACCAGGTCAGACTGTTAACCAAGCTTTCAAAAAAGGCCTGCTTTGTGGGATACAATGGACTGGTTTTGCCACCACGACAAAGCACCTGCTCACACAGCCATCTCCATGTGCCATTTTTTGGCAAAAAAACCCCCTAAAGCCAGCATGCCTCTCTTGCCTCATACACCTTTCCTACCTTCCCTCATTCTGTGCAATTTCTTTTCCCATGAATAAAGAGCAACATGGAAGGACAGGGATTTGACAACATAGAAGAAATGAAGAAAAAAACGAGGGAGGTGCTGTCAGCCATCCAAACGGATGAATTTGAAAATTTTTGCCAGATATGATAAATATGTTCAGTGTAGTAGAGAATACTTTGAAGGTGATAAGGTTGTTTTGTAAAAAAAAAAAAATTAAAAGCATAGCCTTGAAAAAAAATTACATTTGGGGGTGTGCCCCTAGTGTGTATGTGTGTGTATGTGTGTCTGTATGTATATAGATGCATATGTGTATGTGCTATTTCACTTTGCAATAGTTCTAAGTCTTGTATATGTTTATTGCTAACTCCTAAATATTTTACTTCTATATTGAGTATATAATAAAAGTTATATTCTTTAATGCCAATAAATGAAAAATCTAGGAGAAAGATTTTAAACACAATGGAGGTAGTGATAGCGTTACATTAAACTCAAAGATTTTCTGTAATTATTATTGCAACATCTATAACCTTAATCCTATTCTCTATTATTTTTTCTACATTGTTGAGGAAGTGGAAGAGTCGGAATGCATAGTTCTACTCTGTTAGTTGTTACTTATGTCATCCTGGAGTCTCAGCATCAGTTGCCTCACCAGTTTCCTTTGGAGAAGGAAGGCATTTGACGTAGAGCAACCATTTCTAAGGCTGTGAAAATGCAAGCTACCTGATAGGAATTCTCTCTGAGGTTCCGGGATACGGCCATCGTGAAGAAAGAGGGGTCAACTAGGATGTTCAGGTTGAACCAAAGGAACACCTTTAAGGATTTCAGTGAAAGACCTCCTCAAACCCAAGGGCAACCCTGTTTGTGGAGTAAACTCAGGCAGTCTGTCAATTGTGAATATGTACCAAATGGATCTCATGGTCTACAGCATGGTCTTTGTGGAATGTTTGTTAACATTCAGGATTAAACATTTGTAAAGGGCCCATGACAGAAAAGAACATTTATATACACTGAAATTGAAGCTATATCTTTGGGAAATAGTCGAGGAACAAAAATGACATCAAGAGAGTTGAAATTAAATGCACTTCTTATAAATTCTGTATTAGTACCTAATTTGGTGGTTATATATAGATGGTTTATTGTCAATTAAAGTTCAGTAATTCATTTCTCTTGGGTCAGACAATTATTATTGGTTTTGAAAATATTTTTGTGGGAGTATGTCTCCTTTGTATGGTTTCTGTTACTATGTTAAAGACTACAAGTTACCATCAGGTGCCTGAACATGTGATATTCTCACTGAAGTAGTATAAAAGAAGTAAGTCAAGTGAATTGTTCTTTAAAATCGAGAAATGGTAAATTACTCAACCAGACCTTAATGAAAGATAATAGTGAGTTCTAAAATATTCCATAGTAAGGAGTTTAGTGTAATGGTCAATTTCAGCGTAGGGGAAGGAAATTATATTCTGAGTCAAAACTACCGGTTTGCAAAGTAGCTACTCTTTTGCTGCAGTTCCAGTGAGAGATACAAGAATACCGGCTTCACCAAATGACTAGCACTGTGATGGGGCTTATGGTGCGGCAGGGCCAGACCCAGAACGGGTCAATAGTGCAGAATCGCTGATGCAATTTTCCGGGAAGAAGAGCTCACAGACATCATCTCAAAGAACCCAGTTAATGATTTACGAAAATGGGCCATTTAGCGAAATGGAGCCAGGATAGACCGTTTCCCAGAAATGGAGACCGTGGCCTTCTCTGTGTGGTGTTGCACATAAACAGCCTGAAAGTTTAGAAAGGAAAAGAGGAACGGAGAACCTGAAAAGGCCACCTGGTCCTAGAAATTGAAGTGCAAGTGACTGGGTGGGGTGGGGGGGGGGAGTCGTGAGGATCTGCAGTGCAACAGTGGCAGTAGTGGGGCGTGGGAACAAATGGCAGACCTGCAGCCTCTCCAAACCCCCAAAGCAAACTCAGTGCCATCGAATCGATGCTGACCCTCTAGGACAGGGAGAGCTGTCCCTGCACACTGCCAAGGCTGTCCCTCTTTCCGGGGGTAAAAAAGTCTAATTTCTTCTGTCAAGCAGCTGGGCGTTTCAAACGGGGGACTTGGGGCCAGCAGCCTTCCTCGTCACCACTTTGCCACCAGAGCACTCTTTGCAGCTCCTAGCATCGGGAATGTCCTGTTTTACCATGGAAGAATTGGAAGAAAATGACTCAAATGAAGTTGGCTCTATGCTAAACCATTTATCTCCCAGGTGGGTCAATTATTGCACTACAAGGATCCCAGACGTAAACTTGTTTTTCTTAGGGGCCATCAAGTTGCTCTCCTACACAAAGTGAATTCATGTGACAAGGTACAACTGCCCATAGGGTTTTGTAACCTGTCATTGGTCTGAGAGCAGATTTCTAGGTCTTTCTGACACGGAACTACAAGGCGGTTCCAACCAAAGACCTCTGGGTTACTAATTGAGAGCACTTATTCATTGCACCAGCGAGGCTGCCTGTGATCTAAGATGCCTACCTCAGTTTCCTAAAGCCAGTTATCCCCTGGATGACGTCTTTTCCTGTACCAGGTTTTCCCCACCATCCTGTGACAAGTCTGAACAAAAGAGAAATGGAAAAATGCTTCCACGTGAAAGTATGTTCAGCTTTGAATGATGGGAGAGATTTCATTGTAAAGTGTTATACATAGGGCCAAACACCCAATGTCAATGTCTTCCTGGAAGGTAGGGAGGTTGATTGCTGCCTAAGACCAGAACTTGGCCATTCCTACTCGCGCTTTGCCTAGAATAACACTACCTCTCCTCTCGCTTTGTCCTCCAATGTTTATTTCTATTTTTTTCTCCCTTATGGTACTAACTCTAATCCTTCCTTCCCAGTCAAGGAATTAGATGTGTCTTCTTCCAGTCCTTAGTGGTTTTGTTTTTATGTCTGTGTCTCATTGCATTAATGATCTTATTATTTACACATCAACGTCTTCCCCACTAGATAAAAAATAAAATGATTTTGAGAATAGAATGAACAGGCTTACTATTTATCCACATGCACCTGAATAATCCAAGGCAAATTGCTTAAGGATCATTTTTATGCAACAGTATATTAATGTATAATTGAGGAACAATAATAAAAATATGTGTGATTATTGGAAAGATAATATGAAGTGAAAATGTTTTCAAAATACCTGGTATTTAGTGAGTACTCAGTAGATGTTAGATTGCTTGTTTATAAGTAGCCCCATGGCACAGTCTTGGCTGTTAACCAAAAGGCCAGCAGTTTGAACTCACACATCTGTTCTGAGGGGACAGACTTCTCATAGAGACGGTACCCTAGAAAGTCCTCCAGGGCAATGAGGTGAGTGAGCAGCCTGATAGTTTTCTAGTATGCCAGAGACATTGAATTGACAGCTCTTCTGTGATACATAGCAGTGGGCTTCTCTGATGGGTCAGCATCATATTGTGAGTGTATTCTGGATGAATATCTCGAGCCAATATTTGAAACCCTACTATAAGCTCGACAGTAAAGGTTAAGAATAATGAGAGATTATACTAGGAGCTCATTTCTCATAGAAAAGGGGCTCATGATGGCTAAAATCAGAGTTAGTGTACAATGCCAACCACTTAGTAGCCTCCAAATTAGTAGACCAAGAAAGCAGCTCAATACCTGAACCTTGAAGATCTACTATGGTCTAGAATCTGGCATCCAAATGGTGAAATAACAGAAAGCTGTGGGCTGTAGCATCATTGAATTAGTTAGGCAGGAGAACTCACATTCACCCCTGGGGTAAAGGGTAATGAGATAAAAGTTGGACTAAGCATCTAGGAAGATGGCCACAATGGGCAGGAACAGAATGTGGTTTGAACCTTCAAGTTTGCCATGCTGATTAGTCTTCACTCAGGCTTTGGAAATTCTTCCTGAAGTGCAGGTAAGGAATGGTGGGTGTACACTCTTTCTCTGGGTGAGATGCCAGCACCAGTAAGATGATTCTCCTTACCAGCAAACTAACAAAAGATAGGAAGTGTCAATAGAAAGACACAATAAACTAAAACACTTAGACAAGGATGAAGTTCAACCACTCAAATGAAATTCATCTCCAAAGTCAGGATGCTTACACGAGATTGTGTGATTATACACAATTTTCCTTATTCTTTTCTTAAATAGACTCTTCTTAAGGTTAGTCTCTACTCTGACTTTTCAGAGTCCTATTTTTCATTACTGCTATGTTTCCTACTCTGCTTTTCTATGCAACTGAGATGACCCTGTTATAATATTACAGTAATCATTGTCCAGTGTAAAAAGCTAATAACTTATTTCTTATCTCTTAGACCTCTATTGTAGAATCTACCTTTGTCTTCATCTCAACTTCTTTATCTATGATACCAGAGTAGTGCCCGAGTAATGACCATATGAACCACGTACAGCCCATACAGGGAAATGATAGTCTCCTCTCCTCAGATATCATAATTGGGATTCAGAGACTCTAATCACTTCCTGTGGAGCACTTAGAATGGATGGCTATATACACTGCTGCAGACATGTTCTTCAATCTACACGAAAGCAAATCCAAATGCTTGTCTAAAAAGTTTGGTTATAGAAACCCAACTGATATTAATTTGGGTGGGGGTACGGGAGACAAGTATATATTCTGTCACTTAACTCAATGATCCAGAAATATTTAGTCTCAAGAGAGGCTGGCTTAAGGTGTTTGTGCATAGTTGGGAAGGACTTTTCTCTTTGGGAATTTTTTTTTAATGCTTATTTACTTTCTGTCAGGAACCATGGTCCTTATAGTTACTGTACTATATGACCCATAAGGCTTTTGATGACAAAAAATAAAATAATAAGACTCCTTGAATTTAGAACTGAGTAAGAAGAACTAGAACCCGCCTATGCAGTTAATAGAAATGTAAAAGGATGCTATCATTTTGGAACACAGTTCAGCAGATCCTTAAAAACTAAAACTTAGTATTTCATCCATCTTGTAATAAATGCTTACTCTGTGTTTTTAAAGATCATTTATTGGGTGCTCTTACAGCTCTTAAAATAATCCACACCTCAATTGTATCAAGCATATTTGTACTTATATTGCCATCATTATTTTATAAACATATGCTTTCTATTTGAGTCCTTGGTATCAGTTCATTTTTCCCCTCCTTTCCCCACTCCCAACTCCTTGATAAATTATAATTTTTTTCATATCTTAACACTGACTGCTGTATCCCTTCCCCCAGTTTCTGTTGTTCTTCTGTCCCCCTGGTGCGGGTGCTGCAGTTATGTGTCGATCATTGGATCAGTTCAACCTTCCTTCCTTCCTCTCCACTCCTTTCCCCTACCCTCCTGGTATCGCTACTCTCATTATTGGTTCTGAGGGGTTTATTTGTCCTGGATTCCCTGTGTCCTGAGCCCTTATTTGAACCAGTGTATGTGTTCCAGCCTACCCCAAATTGAAAGGCATCACTGGGGTCAAGACAGTGGGGAGTGAGGAAGCCTCAAGGAACCAGAGGAGTATTGTGTGTTTCATCCGTGCTAAACTGCACTCCGATTGACTCATCCCTTCCCTGTGCCCCTTCTATGAGGGGATGTTTACAGATGGGTTTTGGGTCTCTGCTCAGACCCCGTGTTCTCAGCAATATGTTTGTTTGTTTGTTTTGGGTCTTCTGATGCCTGTTACCTGATCCTGTAGAAACTTCGTGATCACATAGGTTGGGGTGCTTCTTCCATGTGGGCTTTTAGCTTCCCGGCTAGCTGGCCACTTGTTTAACTTGATAAATGGCTACTTTTAATGAAGGATTGAGTTCAATTAGATATCTGAGATAACTCTTGACATAATCTCTTGCTATCCTTAAAGCTGTAGTGCTCAATTTATATTAGGGTTTTAAATATGGATCCTAAATGATTCAATTAAGTAAATGCTTACTTTTAGGGATTTACCCCAAATAAATGAAAGAATATTTCCATGTCAAAGTTTTTACACATATATTCTTAGCATCTCTATTTGTACTTGCCAAACCCTGGGAGCATACCAAATGTCAATCGATAGGTGAATGAGTAGATAAATTATATTATAATTACATAATTTAATTGTTATTTTAGAAATAGAAAGATTAAATTATTGATAGATGCAACAACAAAAATGAATCTCAAATTAATTATGCTGAGTAAATCCAGGCCTTCCCCCACAAAAGAACATATGTTATGTAACTTTATTTAAACTTTAAAAGGTTACAAAATAAGTAACTTAGATATCAAAACTGAATAAAATATAATAAAATATGAGGATAAATTATTGATACTTTATGATATAAAGTTATAAAAATGTTAGGGGAAACAATATATAGTACATAATGGGACAATTTATAAAGCCTTAAATATCAATGATTAATTACAACAGGAAAAATGTTTAACCTCTTTAAAATTATAATACAAACAAACTCCCACTTTTGGTTAATAAATTTATAATGATTGTTTTTTTAAATTTTTAGGTGATTAGTATTTTTGAAGCTACAGAGAAACAGGTCTTTTCTTTCTCTCTTAGGTGACTATAAACAAACATTGCCTTTCTAGGCAGCAATTTAGCAACATCCATGAAGAAGGTTGAAAACGTTTATAGACCTATATCAAAAAACACATTTCTAGTAATTTTAGTAAGCATATAGTTATAGATGAACACAAAACAATAAACATTCTTTTATGATTGTTAGGTGGTGTGTCAACTTGTCTGGGCCAGGATCCTCAGGAGTATGGCAGTAAGGACTATCTCAAAGGGGTGGGTCACAAGCCATTGACATCTCCTTAATTGTTGGTCTAGTTCAGATCTCTAAGTAGCTCATGTGGAGCATGGCCTCTCCCTCTTCCTCTTCTTGCTAGCC